TCACAGAAGTAGGTATGATTATTAGCCCAAGGTACAGATGAGGATACTGAGGCCCTGAGCAATGAAATGACACAAGGAAGGTCATGGAATTAAATAAGTGGACTCTGAGGTCAGACTTTCTGGGTTCAAATTCTAGCTTCTCCATTGAATAGCTGACCTTTACTTAATTTTTCTAGGCTTGAGTTTCCTCGTCATGAGATGGAGATATTAGTGGAAACTCCCTTGAAGGGCTATGTAGGTGCTCAGTAAACATTAGTTATTGCTTTTACCAAAGGTCTCATGGGGGTACAAGATAAAAAACTCCAGAGTACCCAGATCTACACCAAAACTCATGTCTTAACCACTACCTTCTATTGCTTCTTCCAGTTTATAAGTTGCATGAGGTCCTCTTTTATGGACTACAAGTTTTGCTTTTATTATTATTATTTTTTGGGGGGAGTGTCTTGGATCTGTGCTGGTTTTTGCTGACAAGGGGCATGTGGTGACTATTGACCCAGGCTAGAGGCAAGAGGAGGAAAAAATAAGCATGCCCTCCAGGCTAGAGGCAAGAGGAGGAAAAAATAAGCATGCCCTTCTCTCTGCCCAGCTTCAGTCTTCATCGGTCTCCTCCTACATTCCTTCTCTGGTTGTGGCAGACTTGAGAGAGAACCCCATACCACAGGGAAATGGCTTGGCCAAACCTTGGAGCCACCAGCCTCTCCATTGTCTTATCCACCCTCCCCTTCACCCAGGTCACCCTCTGTGCTGGCTATCAGAGTGAGCTTCCAAGGCACAAGCCATACTTCATACTAGCTCTCATTTCTCCAAGTGGGTTACCTTCCTAGGTCACTTGGCTTCTCAAAGCTTCAGTTTTCCCATCTGAAAAATGGTGATGATAATTGCACCTACTTCAAAGAACTGCTTTGTGTATCAAATGAGGAAAAACTGTGTAAAGCATGTGACAGTGCCTGGCATGCAGTGGTACTTCCCTCACCCTCTATTCATCAACCGTCTCAACCTAACAAACTCCTACCCATCCTTCAAAGCCCCACTCAAATGATCCCTTATTTGTAAAGCCCTCTCAGACATTAAGACAACATTGTCTGGCCCTTCCTCTGTGGTCCCACTATACATTGCACTTGCTTCCATCACTGCCGGGGTGACATTTATAATACTCAACAACTAGTTGGGTATAGGTACTGGCCCATCAAAAGGGAAGCTGGCCTTGACATTGAAGGGGTTTAGGTGTCACTTTCAGTTGCTGGGTTGTAAGAAGGTCCAGAAAGTTCCAGGGGAGGGAAGAAATGGCTGGGTTGACTGGGGCTGGGTGAGGTGGGGACAGGGCCTATTTACCAACTGTTGTGAAAGTATTTGAATATTTTAACAACCAGAGAAGGTATTGGTGCTCACAGACTCAATCTTTACAGCATTCTGTTTACTACTAGACTGTGAGCTCCTGGAGTTCAGCAAGAGTGTTTTCTTCATCTCTCTTTTTTCCCAGTGCCTTGAACAGAGATGACACAATAAACATAAGGATCATATGTGGGGGCTGTGGCGGGCCCCTAAACCATCTCCTTGGGAAATTCCATTTGAATTTAGGCTCTGACTGAGCAACAAAGCCTCAGGTTACCTTTAGCTCACCAACTAGGATTGCAGTTAAGAGTCAACCCCCAAATTTCCATATTCATAAATGCAAATAAGTCCCTTGATATAATGCATCTGCCTTTGATTTTTTAAAGAGCCATGCATATGAAATGGCTGCAACTGAGTGTGGCGGGAGCCACGGCATAGAAGATCTTCATGTTTGGGCTCCTGTTTACCTGCAGAGCCCCATATCTTGTCCTGCAATTTTATCTCATTTCCCGACTCCAATATTCATTTCCTCTTTTCATTGGCTCACTCTTAATTTTTTAGGTAATTGTTATCTTCTCTGCCTAGCCCTAGCCCTAATCTCCTTCCTTGCCTGCTAACCTTGCACCCCATCTAAGTATCCAGCATCAACTGTTGTGTACTTTCTTTTACTGTTTTTAACTTATCTGTCTCCCTCCATTAGAAAGCACAGCCTGTTTCCTTCTTACTGATTGGATTCAGAGACCAAACTCTGAGCCTGACCCTATATAGATGCTTAATAGATGTTGGTAGACTTGAATGAATGATTAGATGGATGTTTCAATGAAAGTGACTCTGATGTGAGCTCTAACAGAGAGAAAAACTTGGAGCCAGGACTCTTGGAAACCTTTGATCCAACCTGGAACCTTTTTCCACCTCTGCCTTTGTAAGAGAGAAGATGACAAAAGGCCAAGCATGGTGGAGGAGTAAAAGAACCAGATTGGGAGGATCTGATGTTCCCAAAAGCCAGGCAACCTTGAATGACTGGCTTGTAGATTTTGAAGAAATCCTCATCTTGTAGATTTTGAAGAAACTGAGACACAGAGAGTTTACATAGCTTGCCTAAGGATCCACAGCTGGTAAGTGCAGATCCAGGATCTGGAATCTTGTCATCCTAACACTACTGGTATCTGCCAAGTCTTGCCCTAATGCCAAGTAGGCCTTTTGAAGAAGAGACTGTTATTATCTACATTTTTAAAAAATAAATTAGGAAACTACAGCTCAGAAAAGTTTAAGTAACTATCTTAGAGCCAGGATTTGACCACACAATATTAATTTCATGTTTTTAACAACTCTGTCTTGCTACAGTCCATGTAAGTCATTTCTCTTCTGTGAATCTCAATTTCCCTTCTTGGTAATCAGGGCATTGGGCTAGATGAGCTCTTAAGGCCTCTTCCTTCTAGGTACAGATGAGCTCTGGCTTTCAGCTCTTCTTATAACAGCTGGGCTCATGGGAATTATCAAGTCATTATACCTCAAAGCCATCAAGAATCCATGTGTTTTAGGAAAGCAAACTACTAATAGCCAATCTGGTAACCTGCCTAGCTGGTGTGGGAAGACAGACCCAGCTTTTTGCCATATTTTGACAGATATGACCTTGTTAGAAAACCATTCCAGGCAGGTAAGAAAGTATAAGCCAATTATTCCCAATGGCACATTTCAGCTTAGGGCCTCCAGATGGGCTGCCACAAATATTATGGCCAGGGAGATTAGGCAGCATTTACTAACTTAAAAACATTCCTCTACCTCTTATGGATCATATTACAAATTTATCTTTACCTTTGCCATAGTCTCTTTTGGAGACAAATGGGATAATCATGCCCATTCCTCAGGCGAGAAAGCTGAGGCTGAGAGGTATAAAATGATTAGTCCAGTGATGCCAAGACTTGAACCCAGGCCTCTGGACTTTCTGTCATACTCTGAAGATCCCTTCTTAGGACATTTGGGGAGGAGAGAATGCAGGTGAGCATTTGCCATCTGCAAGTACTCAGTAACCACAGGCATCTCTGCAAATCAAGGGCCTGGAGTAAGTTGTGGATGGTCTCAGGTAGGCAGAGGATTTGGGCAAAATTAGACCTTGGTGATGCTGGATGCCTTGGCTGGTGAAGAACCATTTTACAGAATGCACTTCAGATAACTACTGTGTCAAACAGGCCTGACTGTTGTTTGTCATGTCTTTCTGTTCTTGACCTTCCTGCAAGCACCCCTGAGCTTTTCCTTGCATCTACCTCATCCTTTCCTTCTTAGGAATCAGTTACCTGAAATTTTCAAGTTCACATGTATCTAGAGAAGACAGGTCCCTTCACCAATGTCTGCTGCAATTGTTGGCTATGTTAACAACATTGACTCTCTTCCTGTTTTTTTTTTTTTTTTTTGAGACAGAGTCTCACTTTGTTGCCCAGGCTAGAGTGAGTGCCGTGGCGTCAGCCTGGCTCACAGCAACCTCAATCTCCAGGGCTCAGCAATCCTACTGCCTCAGCCTCCCAAGTAGCTGGGACTACAAGCATGCGCCACCATGCCTGGCTAATTTTTTGTATATATATTTTTAGTTGGTCAATTAATTTATTTCTATTTTTGGTAGAGACGGGGTCTCGCTCAGGCTGGTTTCGAACTCCTGACCTTGAGCAATCCGCCCGCCTCGGCCTCCCAAAGTGCTAGGATTACAGGCGTGAGCCACCGCACCCGGCCATGTTTTTTCTGTATATACCTTAAGAATCCACCAAAGGCCTTCCCAAACTTTATCTTATTGGATATTCCCAACAATCCCACACGGAAGTGGTATTACTTCAAGTTTTCCAACATGGAAGACTGAGGTTTACTAACTTGCCTAAAGCCACACAGCTACCAAGTGGCCAAGGTAGGACTCAAATTCAGATCCATCTCTAAATCTCTTGTTCATGGTGTCAAACTGTCCGAAGTCAAATTCTAGCTCCTTGGCCTGGGGGAGGATTGCCTACTTCTATTCAATATCAGGTTGCTAAATTGGCTTTTGTCTTTGCCTTGCTTTGTGGCTTTACCCTAGACCTTAGCCTTTCTGAGCCTTGATATTTCTGTCCCATCTGTAGAAGGAAGTGAAAGCAGCTGTGCCCTCAACTCCCAAGACCTGTGTGGACACATGAGAGGATAGAGGTCAAGCACTGTGAGCTCCGTGGAAGAACATTCTCATATAAATTCAAGGTCCTGTTTCTAGGTGGAATCAAATCCCGGCTGCCAACCAATGCTGCCAGCGCCTGGGATAAAAGATGCAGACCTCATGTAAAATCTGGAGTGCCTGTATTATGTCAAAGACCCCTTCTTTTCCTTTCTCCCCAAAGAAACCTCCTGTGGTGTCCCACACATGTATTCCTGCGGGTGTCACTCTAGAGACCAGCACTTATTTTTCAACACTCCCCTGATAAAAAGCCTGGGTATTTGAGTTTTTCTCCCTCTGTCCCTCAGATCCCCAAGCCAAGTGCTGCCAAAGGCTGGTGAATGACCATTTGTTTCACTGATAATGAGGTCTAGAGCCAGTGCAATATTTTTTTTTCCCAGAACTGAATTAAAATGTCTCATATGCTGCCCTGAACTTGTGCCTCCACCTCCCACAAGTGTCGTGGCCAAGGCTGGCAAAGGAGGCTGTGTGGAATACTTACTACACCCCTGGTGGACAGGCAGCCGGGCGTCTGGAGGGGCTGGCTGGGCGGGTGGCTGGGCTGGGCCTCGGGGCTGTCCTTGCAGAGGGTCTTGGAGCAGTGGCGGGAGTACCTCCGGCGGGACTTCCGCCCTTCCTCGGGGGACCGGCCGCGGTGCCTGAGGGCAGAGGAGAGAAACCTGAGGGTCTTTTGAAGGGATGCATGGCAGGGAGAGGGTTCAGGGACCGACAGGATCTGAGGACCATAGAGTGTGCTAGGGGGTGTTTGTATATGTTCACATGTGATTTCGTTCCTGGGTATGTTTGCATGTGTGTATGTGAAAGTTAGACTGTGTGTATATCCATCCAACCATCCATCCATCTACTCATTCATCCTCTCATTTGTCCATTTGACAAATGCTTCTTCATGGACCTGGCACTGTTTTGGGGGGCTGGGGAAGCAACTGTAAAAATGGAAAATTCTGTTTCAATTGAACATTCTTAGTGTGCCCGTGTTATTGTCACATGGCTGTGTGTATGTCTGGGCGTGTCCATCTGTGTTTCCATGTGTTTGTCTATAAATGTAACTGCGTATATCTGCGTGTCTTTGTGTATGTGACTTCGCCATCTGTGAAACAGAGGCATCCTATTGACTGCCACCCAACACTGGTGAAGAGATGGCTGACAAAAAAATGAAAGAGATGCCTTCTGCAAGCGTGGCGGGTCTAGATCTAATTGCCATGTCTGCAATGGAAACCACAGGCATTTCCGACTTCTAAGAAGAAAGGGTAGGTCAGAGCCCGGGAAGAAGGGAATGAAAGATGACCTTTCTCTCCCACCCTTCTTTCCAGCACCATTTTTGTTTCACGCCAGGCTTGTGCCATTTTGGTGCTCACAGGGTTTTGCCTTCAGAAAAGCTCTTCTGACCTTTCCTTGGAGCGGGCCATTGTCACTTAGGGCTCACCCCTGAAGCTGGAGGACCAAGGGCTCCCTGCGTCCGTGGATGAGACCCACCTTTGTGGCTGCTCCCGCAGGGGTTGTTAGCCACTGCACTGTGCCCTGGTACAGATTTTAATGCATATTTTTAGATATAAATGTTCCAAAAGGCCAAATTTGGTACCAGGTTTTATATACAGGTCATTATAATTTGTATTGTGTCCCTATTATGTTTCTATGAAGGTTTTCTTTAGACTTAATTTAAAAAAAGAAAGAAAATGTTCAAAAACAAAAAAAAAGAAGAAAGGGTATATTTGGACGCTGCATATCCCATTGGCTGAGATATAGGAGTAATAAAAAAATGACATTTGTGGATTTGCACAGCATTTATAAATTCCTCCTAAGATGCTTTCACAGTCCTCTCTACAACTTGAAGACACAGACAAGGCAGGTATTACTTTTCCATTTTACAGATGAGGCAGCTGAGGCCAAGAGACTTTTAGGGAACTGTCTGATGTCACATAGCTTGAAAGCAGTGGAGCCAGGGCCAGGGCAGTTTTTTGCTATAATGGTCCCCAACCTTTTTGGCACCAGGGACCATTTTCATGGAAGATAATTTTTCCATGGACTGGGGAGCAGGGTGACGGTTTCAGGATGATTCAAGGGCATGACATTTATTGTGTAATTTATTCTATTATGATTACATTGAGATATGTAATGAAATGATTATACAACTCACCATAGGTTGGAGACCCCTGCTTTATAGGAAATGGTGTCTCTTGTTCCTACTCTGGGGCGCCCATCTCTGCTCTGGGGCTTCCAGATCATTTTTCTACAGGGCGTGTAGCCTGGGTGTCAGTTCCATTTGCTCCCAGATCTGCTGGAGAGGACCTCAGCCTAACAGACACTGGGGAACTCAGATAGCACCACCAGTATATGGCACTACAGGGGACCTGGGGCTGGAGTGTGTGACGTGAACCATTTTTCCACCGGGCAACTCGCTGGAGCCCCAGACAAATAGAGCTTAGCTGCTGAGAGCTGATTCAGCCTGGAGCGGTGGTGGAGGGCTCGGGCTGAGTCACACAGACCTGAGTCCCTGTTCCAGCCACTTCCTAGCTCTGTGACCTCGCTCAGATCCCTTTGCACACCAACAGGCAGTTTTCTCAGCTGTGGCAGGTCAGCGATGTGTCTTAACTCCGTGGGCCAGCGCCCTCCAGAGAAAGGCCACCAGGGATCCCACCTGTGGTTGGACAAGTGTGCCGTTGCTCCTTGCAGCCCTGGGGCAGTGTAACGTGTCTCTGTAAGAGTGTTAAGTTAAAGAGCCTATTATAGGATTTGCACTTGTGGTAGGCAGTTTGGGGGAGCGTTTATAGAACGGGGGCTTAGTCCTGGATTGCGGGCTGTCTGAAAGCAGAGGCAATTCTGATTGGGTGTCTCTATCAATCTCACCTAGAAAGAGGGAGGACTAGACCGAGGTTAAGGTAATTGCTGAAGAAGCAGCAGTCACTGCTGTTAGCCAGGACAGAGAGCTGGAACACCAAGGCCCACTAGCGACAGCAGGTGTCAGGGCCTCTTTCTCAAATGCTTCCTACACTCGGCCTCACTTTTGCTTCACCTGGAGAGATTTAAAAGCCTCACTGCCCTGGACTCACCACATCTGAATTAGATTAGACTGTCTAGGGAGTGGGATCCAGACATTGGTATCTTTTTAAACTTCCCAGGTCACTGAAAAGTGCAGCCAAAGTGGAAAAGCCCCGGTCCAGCCCATGGTGCTACTGGGATGACTGAGGGAGAGGACGTCTGTGAAATCTTAGCACAGTGCCTGGCACAGGATTTGGGTCAATATTCCTCCTTTTCCTTTTCTCCACCACCTACCCTTCCTAGAGATATTCTGCTTTATTTTGGGACGAAGTGGGGCCAAGACAATGAGACTTTCACATCTCCCAGGTGATGTGAACATAGAGTCAAGTGTGGGAAGCACTTGGAAAGAGGAGAGTAGCCCCTGGCATCTGAGAGCTGGCATGGTCCTATCAAGTAGGTCCCAGCATCCCCACTGCACATCAGCAATGCCAAACATCAACGTTGACAGACCTCCACTTCTCATTTTTGTTCTTTTCCTTCCCCTCCTCCTTCTCATCCATGAGAACACCTCTCCTTCTTCTCAGGCTGGGATAGCCAGTGTTTTAGCATAGAGAGGGTCCAGACGAGGAGAAAAGTGACTTGGAAGGGACTTAGAACGAACTTCACACTTTGTGCTGTGTGGCCTTTCATAGGTTGCTTAGCTTCTCTGTGCTTAGAGTGGTCCCTTAGCGACAGTGCAAAGTCCAGAGCCAAACTCCCTGGTTTTGACTTAGTTGGTAAGGAACTAGCGAGCTCCTTAACTGCCACATGCCTCAGTTTCCTCATCTTTAAAATGGGAATAGCAAGAGTACGTATCTCATAGGGCTGTGGAGGGGAATCTGTGAGTGGACGTACAGAGCGCAGTGCCATGAGCACTTAGAAAGAACATGCTTTAGCTAGAACTGTTGTCGTTCTGACAAGTGGTGGCAGCAAGCCCCTTTGGTCTCCAGCCCTGACTCTGCAAGGAAGTGGTAGCAGCCGCTAAGGCAGGGGGCCAGCCTGTGCTGGGAGAGTGGTGACAACAGTGACAGTGACAACAATGACAGCAAAGCTGATGACACCCGTGTAAGCGTGTCTCAGATGGGGCTCTGGGCACTGCCTAGGCAATGAGGCTTCGTGGGGTGGCCGGTTACCTGCTCTCACAGCTCGAGGAGCGGGACTCCGAGCTCTGGGACCGGGAGGGGCAGCGGTGGTGGCGATGGCGGTGAGACTTTCGGGGCCGGCTTCGAGATCTTGGGGGGATGAGAAGGAATGAGTCAGAGGGACAGGGAAAGAGAAAGAGAGAAAGAGAGAAAATTGATCTTGTGGCACCCATTTTTCTCTGGAACCCGAGTCACCATCCCTCCCAAAGTTATACATCTCTCCCGACTCGCTTCCCGCCTGGGTATTCGGGGGGGTCTCTAAGCAGCTGTACTGAACACAGGTGAGCAGAAAGGGGTGCTCCGGAGGGAGCGTGGATGACTCAGGGCCCTCCCCCGCCATCCCATGCCGGAAGCAGGCCCATTGCAGACCACGCCCTGGGCAGAAAGTCACCCCCATGTCCCCTCTCCCTTTCCTAAGGCAAGAGCTTCAATTCCACAGAGCTTCCGGGGCCAGTCAGAGACCACAAATGTGTGAATCACCCAGGCACTAAAACAACAAAAACTGAAGGCCTGGGCTTAAACAGATGGAGCTCCTTTGCCTGTAGAATATTAACATGGTGCTGGGTCTCTAATTTTTCAAGTGAAGGTAGAAATATGGATTTTTATGTAAAATGCCTCCATTTTAAATGGAAGCTCATTTCTTTTTTTCCTAAAAAGTCACCTTTTGGGGCAAACAAAACCCATTTGCAGAGCAAATTAGACCTTTGGGTTGCCAATCTGTAACCTTAGACCTGGAAAATTAAGTCCAGATTCTTAGCATAGAGTCAAAAGCTTTTCAGAATGGGGTGAAAACCTCATCAACAACAAAAAATTAGAACAACAATTACTGCTGCTACCATTAATAACGGAATTACTACAGGTTACTCCAGCTGCTTCTAAGTAATAATAACAACCCAGAAGTGGTAGTAGCAGGGGCAGTGGTGATTAAAGATGTATAAAGAATGTTAATGGTTTGGGCTAAGCCAGGAAGCCAGTGGGAGTTAGAGCTGATTCTATCAGGAGGTAACTTGGTTATCCTAACAAAGGACTCAGGGATTCTTCTGATGTATTCATCAGACCATATTCCTTCCCTGCTTAAAATGTTCCCTATGCCTTCATGTCAAATCTGAACTCCGATCTTGAACTCCAGGCACCTTCAGGAGCTCGTCTCTGCCTCACTCTGTGCTTCACTGCTTGCCATCTTCTGCCCTGACCCTCTGACCTGGCAATTTTGAGCTGCTTATATTCTGGCTCACACATTTCCCAGCTCATGATGTCCTCGTGATGATGATGATGGTGTGATGACGGTGACAGGTGATCCATATCTAACACAGACTTCGTGCCAGGCACTGTATTCTAAGCATTTTCCTTAAAGGGATTCATCTATTCTTCACAACAACCTATGAAGTAGGTTCTTTTATTATTCCCATCTTACAGATGAAGAAACCGAGGCACAGAGAGTTAAACTGCTTGCCTAACCTGCAGCCTAGATGGTCTGAGGATGGTCACCTCCCATCCTCATCCCCAGCCTAGACACCCCCTCTTGCAGGAAGCCAGCCTTGCCACCCAGCCCTCTTCCCAGCACCTGCACCCCCACAATGCCCAGGCTTCTGTCTGCTGAGCTGGGACTGCCCCATGTCTGCCTGGCTGCTCTGTGAGTTCCTGGATGCAAGGACAATGCCTGGCCCGTCTCTGTCCTCTGTCCAGCACAGGGCCAGCCACATATTAGGGCTTCACTAATGCCAGTGGTCACTCGCTTGGAAGCAGCTTTGACCATGGGACTTGGCAAGAATACGCCATAACTTATCTTCAGGATGCCTTGTTCTTCACGCTTTTCTCTCTCCTGCCTCTTGTCTTTTGGCTTGCACGAGCTTTCTGATGCCCTGTCAGCAATTTCTGGGACTCATTCAGCTCTCGGCACCAGGGAGGGTGGCCGCCTTGCTGCTCTTTGGCAGGCGGTCCTTGTCTCACTGATGGTCTTCCCAGAACTCTTGAGGTCTGGGCCCAGATCCTGATCCTGCCCCGCAGCTCCTGGACACGTGATGCTGAACTATCTAAGAGCATGTGCGCTATCTGTGCTTAGCATGAACGCACATTCGATACACAGGGCCAGTAATTATCTCTTGGCTTGAACAGAACAAGTTTGATGATAAGGAAGTGCTTCCCTGAATGAATTCAAGATCCTACTGCTTTATTCTGGAGCATTCCACTGGCCCCTGTGGTGGTGCTGAAATACCCTCCTTCGCACTGACCTTGGTTGAAGAGACCCTTTGGGGCAGCAAAGCTGGGCCCCCTCCCTCCATGCCCCTGCCTCCTGTTTCCCTTCCCCAGCAGTCAACTACCTTTCATCTTATTGTCTTTGATCCTTTCTTTAGAAGCTTCTTGGCGGGAGATAAAATATTAGTTGATTGGAAAACACAAGCACTAACATTCCCAGGATATAAAGTAGGTGGGTTGTAACCGAATTTACTTTTAATTTGGCTGGAAACTGAACTCCGCAGGCAGCGGTAGCTGATTTGAATTTCTACTACCAGCTATAAACTGTGAAACAGCTGGGGCCCCAGGTCTGAGGATGGGAACTTCACTGATGTCTCCACACTGTAAATCCAACAGCCAGGACACAGCCTCACACATATGCTCACACATGTGCACACGTGTGATCGTGCCCCCGTGACCACCCATGCACGCACAGCATACACATGTGCATAGGTAAAAACCACTACACAACCCATGCACACAGAATGCACACAAATATATAAACAGTGCACAGACACAGTGCTTAGAATTCACACACATTGGCACACAATGCACACCAGTGCACACTGTTCATGTTCATGCTCACACAAGCACAGGCACACACATGCATTCATGTGAACACAAATATACTGCACACACATTGTATACATTTGTGTACAGTGTGCACAAATGTTTGGGTGATGTAAAAATGTACAGACTTTTCCAAACAATGTGCACACCACACATATACACACTACATGTAAACACAAACACTGTGTACCCACAAGGTACACTCACAATGGGCACACCAGGCACACACATGCATACTGTGCACTTTCATGCACACATAAACACACATGCATACACATACACATCATATACACATAACCTGGTGCACTCATGCATACCTAAACCCACAACTACGAGTACATATGCAGTTCTCTCTCTCTCCCTCTCCCTTCCCTCTCTTCTTCCCTTCCTCCCACCCTCTCCCCCCTTTCCCTGTTAATTTGGCAACTCTAACATGCCGGCCACTAAGAGGCCAGATCCCCCAACTCCCCAAACCAGAGAGTATGCTCCAGGTGGTATCTACTTACTGTTTTTTGTGCCTCTTCTCTTCCCTTCTTTTGCTTTTTGGGCTAGAGGAGCTAAACAAGAAATGGCCAATTAATTGAAAGATGCAACATTCCGGTTAAAGATAAAAGTAAAGTTAAAATGCTTAACACAAAGAGTTCCATCAAGGCAGTTTTGGAATGGACACTGATCACGGCCCCAGCTTGGAAAAATTGCTGCCAATGTTTTCATACAGCAGGCTCAGCTAGAAATACCAACCCATTCACGTATGCCGAAAACAAGATGCAGGTGATGCCAAGTTCAAGTTCAGCTTGGGTAGGTTAATAATAACAGCAGTAATATACATAATAATAACAATGTCTGCCCTTTTGAGGCTTTATTATAGGCTAGGACTTCTGCTAAATACTTTATGTCAACAATTTCATTTTATTCTCCCCACCACCTATGGGTGGAGGCACAATTTACTAAGAGCTCATTTTACAGGTGTGGAAACTGAACCACAGGTAGGCTAAGAAACTTGCCTACGAACACACAGGTGAGCTGGGATACAACCCCAGACCATGGGCTCCCAGGGTCCATGCTCCTGACTGTTGTTCAATCAGCTTATGAGAAGAGAATGGAATATCCAGAAAGATGTATGCTGAAATGTTTTGCCCATGCATATTCAAGTATCTGGGTTTAATTTTTTTTTTTTTTTTGAGTCAGAGGCCTGGGGTCCAAGTAGCATAGACAAGGATGACTCAGGGTCCCAGTGTAATTGAATAGAGGTCAGGGATAGTGAACACTATTTGATAATTCATGCCCGACTAGATTTAGAGGGCCACCAAGAACCCATTACTGGCCTAGGTCTTGGGAAGGGGAAAATTTATTGCATCCGACTGAAGCACATCTTAAGGTTAGCTATAAGGAGCTATCTCTGTGTTGAGAGTCAGCCCAGGCAGTGGAAGAGCCCAAGACCTCACTGAAAGATTCAAATTCAGCTGGATCCAAGATCCGGCTTTGCTTCTTGCTGTGTGACATCAGGCCAGTTACCTGTCCTTTCTAAAACTCCTCAACCATCAAATGGGGCCACTACTCAAGCTATGGAGCTGAAGGGACAGTGACATTGGGAACCAAAGTCTACTCGTTGAATGAACAAATGAAAGGGTCTTGCATTTTGCAAACTGCTCTAGATGTGGCTATTGTTATTTAAGAAGCCACTGTCACCTGTCCTGATCCTCTGTCTGACAGATTTGGGTTAGAACCTTCTGGCTCTGTGGACACTCCTGTTACATCTCTTATCTTAGTGTCAGTTTCTTCATCTATAAAATGGGAACAATAAACACATCCACTGCACAAGGCTGTGATATGGATTAATGAGAATTAAATACATCCACACATGGAAGGAGCTTAGCTCAAGGGGCTGAGCTCAGTTTAGAGTGAGTACCCCCTCAGTGACAGCTTTATTTGTGCTCACCCAATGTTTCCAGTGTACCAGGACTTAGCTTCTGTTCCTTGGCCAGTCCTGGGAAGGTTTTGGTGGGGTGATGGGGCTGACGTTTCCCTTCATGCTCCGATTCAAGATTTCCACCAGTGGTAAAAAAGAAACCAGAGTCTGGGAGGGGCAATGAGACATCCTGGGGGTGGGAGGGCATCGGCAGGGGCTGGCCCAGGAGCAACCTTCCAGCCTCATGGAAGTCGAAAACTGGCTGGCTTGGAATGTTCAGGGAAATCAGGCCAGGCCCTCATTTTGGAGTAAACTGAGGCCCAGGTAGTTGGATGGGGCATGACCAAGAACACAGATGCAGCTTGAGAGCTGACCCAGAAGCTGCCCAAAGCCGGCGGGGAGAGCAGAAAGCTGAACAAGTGGCTAGAGGCAGCAAGAGTCTTACCTGTGCCTTCTCTTCTTGGAGAATGACCTGATTAAAGAAAAGAAAAAAAAAAGCAAAGAGAGAGGGAAGAAGGAAAGAGAGAGAGGAAGGTAGGGAGGGAAGGTGAGAAAGGAAGAAGGAAGAAAAGGAGGGAGGGAGGGAGGGAAGGGAGAAAATAAATACAGATGAGTTTGAAGTTTCTATTCCCGGGATGGATGTATCAGTGTGCTTGTGATCATGCTACATGGGGGTCAGGACACCTAGCTAATCCTCCTCCTTGCTTAGATTTCAAAGAATATGAAGATCGTACGGGAGACGTTGGTTTGCATTCTGAATTTTCAGATCAAAGCCTACCAGGGTAGGCTTCCGTCCTCCCCCTAAATTGTCAGTAATCCTGTCCTGGATGAGGGGGACATGAGAGTCCTCTGCCGTTTCCCCTCCTCCCAGTCTCTCTCTCATCTTCTCTCTCTCTAGTTATGGATTTCTCCTCCTCCTCCTCCTTCTCTCTTCCTCCTCCTCCTCATCATCACGAGACAACCAGCTTCCACATGTGGAACTCTTACTGTGTGCCAGGTTCTGTGCTAAGCCCCAGCCACACACAATCTCATTCAATCTTCCCCCAAACCCTGTGGAGTATTACCAACGACTCTACAGATGAAGACACTGAAAATCAGAGAAGTTAGTTAAGTTGCCCAGGGTCACACAGCTTGAGCTCCACTCAGATGTCATCTTCTCTTGGTTGCATTTTCTGAGCCCCCGTGGGCTGGTCAGGTGCCTCCTCTCTGCTCCCCCAAACTCTGATTGAGCTTCTGAGCTTGTCGCTATTAGAGTACAGACCTCTCTATATTGTAAGTACCCATTTTTTTCCCACTAGCATGTAAGCAATTCTAGGGCAGGGGCTGGGTTTCAGTCACTGCTCTGTTTCTGGGACTCACAATCCTTATTCATGGTACTTAACTGGTATTCAGTAAATAGATGTGAAAAATGAGAATTTTTTTTTTTTAAAACAAAACCTCTGAAGCCTAGTTAATTGAGAGGAGACAAAAAGAATCTCAGTGCTTCCCTACCCCTGGGTCCCACCTTCCAAGACAATGATCGTCATTAACCAAACATTTCGAAAACTTGGAGAAGCTGGACCAGGAGGAGGGTGGTGCTCAGGAGGTGAGGGTTTGGGGAAGACCAGTAACAATCTCTCCCTTCACATCTCCCTGTTAGGATCTCCCACCACCCTGCTAAGGCTCCAAGTCCTGAGCTGACTGTAGTTGGCAGGAAAAACAAAAACCTGTTTCTAACATTCTGGCACAGTCTCTTTCTCATGAGAAGAAACCCTTGAATAAGAAGCCTAAGAAGCCAGCCGGTTTCCAGGATTCAGATATGGGACAGTTCCTCCCTCTTCCCCCACCCTAGGAGGAGCTGCTCAGCAGCAGAAGGTGACAAGGGGCAGTCTAGAGTCATGGGCAGGCCATTGTCCCTACAAAGAACTCCGCGCTGGGAAGGATTTCTAACACCACATTAAGAGCATTTCACTAATTGGTTTGCTCATGTCTTGAACCAAACACAAACTCAGCATCCATTGGGAAGTCTGGGCGGGTGGTGGATGTCACCAGTGAGAGGAAACTGAGTCCAAGACCATTCTAGCAACAAGGGCTGAGATGTGGCCAAACTCCTGGATTGGGAAGAGCCATGTCGGGGCAACTTTGTTTATTTGTTTATTTCATATTTTTATTTATATATTTTTAGAGACAAGGTTTCACTCTATTGCTGGGGCTGGAGTGCAGTGGAGTGATCACGGCTCACTGCAACCTTGAACTCCTGAGCTTAAGCAATGCTCCCACCTCAGCCTCCCGAGTAGCTGGGACTACGGGCATGCCAATGCTAAGTCCAGCTAATTTTTAAAACTTTTTATAGGGAAGGGGTCTCACTATGTTGCTCAGGTCAGTCTCAAACTCTTGGCCTAACTGATCCTCCTGCCTTGGCCTCCCAAAGTTCTGGGATTACAGGTACGAGCCACTGTGTTGAGCCTCAACATTGGGGCAACTTTAAACTGGGCTTGAGATGCAAAGGAAAAACCCAAATGACCACTTACCTTTGGTTCTATTGTTAATTGCATAAATAATCCACAATTGATGTAGGAAAGTTGAAATATACAGATAAGCAAAAATAAAATATAAACCACTCTCTTCCTAGTACAGCCAATGGCAACAGATAACTTACACAAGGAGCTTCAAACTCCCTGCTTCCAGGGGCCAAGCTGGCTTTGTAAATGGGTGTAGATGGGTGTAAATGGAGCACCCACTCTGTCTATATGCACAGCAACACTTCAGCACCAGCTGATGGCTGTCTGTGGGAAAACCAATCCAACTAAGACAGGCCTTCTGCCTTTACAGAGGAACGGGACAACTGAATTTCTCTATTGCAAAATCTTCCAATTGTAAAATGTGGGGTTGGCCCATGAATCACAAATCTGGGCCCTCTGGTTTATGTCCTTCTACTCTTTTTTTTTTCCTGCCATAAACTCCCATGTGCATGTGACTATTCACGTGTGTGCATGTGTGTGTGGGTGCATGGCGGACACTTCTGGAACACGTGTCCAGTTCATAACACCTTTAACTACTGCTCCGGCCTCCCCACCCACCAGGTGGGCAATCCCAGCACAGCCATGTTTTTCAACATGATCCCACCCTCTAGGGCACAACTGGACCAACAAGAGAGGCCTTTCCTTGGGAATTTGGAATAAGGAACAAGACCGGGAGATTGGGTGTCTCCTTGTAGCTTGGCTTATAGCATGGAAGGGATGGGGCAGGGTGCAGTCACGTCCCCAGCCCATGGACCAGGAAACAGAGGGATGCCAGGGTCCCGCTTAGGTTCTATCAGCTCTCCACTTCTTGCTCAGCCCCTCTGGCTCAGGCCTGACTGGGCCCTTAGACACTCCTGTTTTCTTCCAATCTGAGTTAGCGTTAGTGGACCTCTGGTCCTCACAAGCCAGAGTCCCAACTTAGACAAGTCTCAGCTACCTAACACCAAATCATACATACATGTTTTATGTAAACAGCATGATATGCTTCCAAATGACCTTTGAGTGCCATCCACTCTTTCCCTCCCCAACCTGGGGTGTCTCTGTTTGCAGAGGAGGAAGGACAATACCTGCGTCGCTTATGTTTCTTGGAACTTTTCTTCTTCTTTTTCTTGACAGGCGATGGGCTATAGGACGGGGACCTGCCAGAAGAGGGGAGACACACTTCAGAGGGAGGCTCTTAAAAATCAGGGTTGGACAGGGTCTCGGCTCTTACAGGAACACGCAAGACTGATGTTAGTTTGCATTTGTTTTAACCATTACTTTGTGTTTACAAATGTTATCTCATTTAATCCTTCCTCACACTTCTTGGGTAGGTCCAATTGCTACCCTCCCTGTTTTAGAGAAAGAAAATGAGGTTCAGAGAGCTGAAGTGACCTGCCCAAAGATGCACAGCTAGGATGTGGATGAGCTGAGATTCAAGTGGAGGCCTCTGTGATCCCAGGGCTTTTGCTCTCAATGAGCACATCACCCCATAGCTGTCTTCCTGGTCAAGCTGTAAAGGCTTCTGTCTGCTCCTCTCCCTGTGAGCTACACCCCGCTTCTCATAGCCTTTGGGTCTCTTCTCTGCCCCATGATATTGTCTCCCTGTAAGACTGAGCCCTTGGGAGATACCTCACCAGGCTGTAGCAGCATGGGTGGTGCCATCAAAGAGTCACCTGAGAAACAGAGCTACCCTGAGTCCACAATAATGCTTCAAGACTGAGGCTTGAGTGACCTGATTCCAATCTTGACTCTACTACCTACATTGCAGAGTCACCTTGGGCATGTCAAAGCTCAACTCTGGGTCTCTTATCTCCCCACTAACAAAAGACCAGGGTTGAAACAGATCAGAGGTTGCAGACTCAATGCCAAGAGGCCCCTTTCAGATAACATGAATGAATGAAGCAGGCTGGGAGGAAGACAGTAGGGCATGGTGCGGACTGTGGTGAGCCAGAGAACACCTGACTGGAGAGGGGGTGGCTGCTTCTCAGATCAGCCCAGGGTCCTGTGTGGGAATGCAGGCCTGAGCTTCCAGAGCAGCTGTCTTTTCAACAGAAGCTTCCAGAAATCCATATTTACATAGGAAACCTCCTGACCACCAATTACAAAACGAAAACACTTTGCAGCTCAAACAACACACGTCTGCAGAGGGAAGTGGCTGAGGAACCATTAAAGGAATCATAATGCTTGTTCCCAAACATGTGTGCAGTGGACATTTATTGAATGACCTAATGAATTGGTTAGTGAATCCTAATGCCAGCAGTTTCCTTCTTTGAAGTGCTCTCTGGCCCACCCCTCAAATCAGGAAACTCAAGCCACTTGCCCCAATTCCATCTCCTACTCTGCAATGGCTGGAACTCAGAGTGTTTATCCACATTTCTCTGTGGGTCCTCTTTGGGCCTGTCCTTTTAGAATGAGGCTAAAAGGTTTTCTGTGAAACAAGGTTCCAGAAAACCTGGAGTTGAAACCTGGAACCCAAGTCATCAGATGCTGCTCTCTATTGCCCCCTGCAGGCTTCTATAAATACTGCCTCAGAGGTTGAGGTCAGGTGGTTCAAGCTTGCAGCCCACTCCTCTGGGGCTGGAACACTAGGCATGCTTTTAATCTAGTTAGTGGCCACTTACAGGCAAATCTGTAAATCTTTTTAAATACAAAAAGGATTTAAAAGGAATTATACATATAAAGAATGCATAGGTACAAAAGAGTCAACTGTAGGCGAAAAAATATAAAGTCTATTATCCTGGGCGTTTATCCTGGATGGGGGTGGGGTGCCTTAGAGAGGGGGCTCTCTAAACCTTTCTTTTCTCATTTTTGCAATGTGGATAATAACGCTTGCCCTGTGGTCAGGAGTGAAAGACATAATGGAGATCACAGTGGGTCGCATAGCACTTTGCATTGTGTTAGCTCTCCAAAATAAGTCAATATTCATGCTAAAGACTGTGCTTACTATTAAACGATCATTTACTATGTGCCAGATACTGTGACAGCTGCTTCCACATCTATTTAACATCTAGTTTTCACAAAACTTTAAGAGGTAGCTATCATCCCCATTTTGTAGAAGTGAAAACAGGCACAGAGAGGTAAAGTGACTTGCCCAAGCTCACACAGCTAGTTAAGTGGCAGAGAGGGGATTTAAACCTATGAGGGAGTTACTGTTTGACTTCAAAGCCCATCATCTTGTCCCTTCTCCCATCTTCAAGGTTTTATCTCCCTCTTGGTGCCCTTACCTCCTTCTCTTCTTCCTAGTGGATTTCTTCTTTTTCTTCTTCCCCCTGGAGGAAGGTGGTGGGGTCAAGTCTTTGTCACAGGAGGCACTGCGAGAAACAAAGTGTTGGGTATTACAGAACGCAGGGTTTCCCACCCCCAACCAGGGCTGGTGCTCTGGGGAAGGACCCAGCTCCTCGGAGGATGAAGGACTCGGCCAGTGTCTAATTACCACCTCATGGCTGATTCGGTCACTCTTCAGATTAAGTGCCTCAAATAAGGACTTAATGCCGACCTAATGAGACAGGCGCGGTATGTTACCCAAACACCAATTGATTATTTAAAACAGAGTTATAGAGGTTAACTACTCCTTAATAGATTTATTATTGAATTTGCAAATGGCTCACCTTGGTAAATAAATCACTTTTTAAATAATTAATAGACAGCTCTGCCCTCTCCCTCCCCAATACAACACGTCTGTAGTTCATGCTGAAAATTTAATAGGAGGCAGAAGGTATGTTAAGTAGCAGGTGATTATTAAAAGTATATTTGCCAAGGTCTAATGTAACGAGATACATATCTTATATTGCCTCCCAGAACCTCAAAAACCTCTGCTCTTCAAGAATAATTATTTCCCTTTCAATTAAATTCAGATGCTCAGGCTGCAGTCAAACGAAGTCAAGTTATCTCTTTTTATAATTGGGGCAGGCTCTAGGGATTTTTTAAACACTATCCCATGGCAAAGGGAGATGGTTTGGGAGGAAAAACTGCTTAGGAATTGAAGCATGCCAACTCAGCTGAACCTCATTGGGAAAATATAATATCAATAATAATATTATTGTGATCATTTTAGTAGTAACAGAATGAGCATTTAAGTACTTATTATGTGCCAAATGTTTTATATTGTATAGTACTCATAAAACACTTTGATAGTGGAATAGTGTTATTGTCTTATTTTACCGGTGAAGAAACTGAGGCTCTGAAAGTTTAATTAACTTACCTACAGCCATACAGTTAGAAAGCGCCCAAGCCAGGATTTGAATCAAGGCTGGTATGAGCTTTCCCACAAAGCCAGCTGCCTTCTCGAACTTGTCTGTGTGGCCAATGATCTGGAAATTACCCAGCTCTTTATAGAACATCGCAAAATCCTGCCATGTTTAATTCCATTTTAAGTATCCGGGTCATTATGATTAGTAGAAAGAATGACAAAGTGATTAGAACATATGTTAAGGTCTCTGCATCTCCAATAAATAAAAAGCCTGTATATATAATGTTTTTAAGAGAGTCACTTTTAGCAGGCTAAAAATATAAATGTAACAGGAATTAAGTGCCTCCCTACTTAACTATGCTTACATGTTATGAAGCACAAAGCACAGTACACATGTCCAGGAAGTCAATAGGGTACTTGTATAAACATGATGGGCCACTTCCTAATTTTTTCTCCAGAGAGTGCTTAACACAGAGCAAAAGCCTAATAAATATTTGTTAAGTGACCAAATGATGGGTGAAGGAATGAAATAACTTAGCTACTTGTTAAATCATCTTGTTTCATATAAACACTTCCAAGCACAACGGCTGCCAGGAATTTGAGGGTAAAAAAAATAAATAAATAAAGAGACAAATACTCAAGAAAATAACCTTTTAAAAGTGTGTCTTACAAAATGACTATATGCAGTGGTTACCTGTGTAGCAGTCAAGTTCGTAGTGGTTAAATATGCAATGGTTAAGTACTCCTTGGTGAAGTACACAGAGGTTAACTACGCGGTGGTTAAGTGCTCAGTGCTTACGTATACAGTGGCTAAACATGCAGTGATTAAGTGTGCAGAGGTTAGGTATACAGCAGTAAAGAACGCTGGTGCAGAACAGGCAAACCTAGATTTAAAGTCTGGCTCTCTTACTTCCTAGCTCAGAGATCTCTCTGGGTCTCCTTTTCATCATCTATCAATATGAGCTGGGAATAAACGTGAGGCCTGTGCGTGCACCAAGTTTGTTGCCATGAGTAAAGGACCTGGCTTCAGTAGTGTGCCCTCGTCTGGCACAGAGTAAATGCACAGTAAAAGGGGCTTCTGTTATCATAATGGTTATGACTTTTATTATCACTACTATTATTATCATCACTGTTGTGGTTTTGTCCTGTCAGAGGGCCAGTCACAGAAGGCAGCCAGAGACACAGACACCATATGATCAAGTTGGCCAACAGAGCATCCTTTTTCGGATTTTCTCTCCCAGAACTTTCTCTTCTGGCTTTATGAGACTCTGTTTTTGAGGACCTCCTATGTTCTAGGCCTCCTATGTTCTCCTACGTTCAGAATCTGTACATGCCTGGTCTAATTTAGTCCCCACCCCGACCTTGAGCATTAGATCTCAATATTCCCGCCTTATAGTTGTGAACACTGAGGCCCAGGGAGGAAAAGGAACTTGCCCAAGGTTGCTCGGTTAGTAAGTGGTAGACTGAGTAAGTGGTCCAGACTTGAACATGCAGACTTTCCTTTGGCCGTCTAGGAGATAGCGTTTTAAAAGTAGGGAAATTCTGTTTCTCCTCCCTTCTCTCTCCATCTTCCTGCACCTCTCACGGAAACAACTTTCTTCCTGTTTCCTGGAGAGAACTCTCCAGATCTGAAGTCAAACTTCACTTCTCCAAGCTGATAGAAGTTAATTGTTTCTCTCTCTTTGAAATCACAGCCTGACTAAAGTCTGCAGCCGAGATGGCAGCCCAGGTGGTAGGGCAGACTTCATCCATGAAAGCTACTCTGGTTTCCCAAAACACTGCTCCAACATTAAGTAACCATATTTCCTAAAACCAGATTCTTCAGAGGCCAAAGAAGGGGCAAGCTTTGTATGTGTATGGTACGAAATTGAAAAATAGAAGGCAATGGATAAATGGACTTTTTCATTAGCACCAGTAGGATAATGTGGTAGGTTTTAGCCTACGATTTTTAAAATCAGACACACTGGAGTTCAAAACTTCCCTCTACCACTTACTGGCTGCCATATTTTGGGCAAGTCATTTTTTCTCTCTGAGCTCAGTAAAATGCTGAGTTTAGAGTATTTTATACAGTAAACATATATACAGTGCCAGCTGCATACATTATCCTAGATTAGTGCCTATCACACAGTGGGTGCTCAAAAAGTATTAGTTGAATAACTGAATTAAGGAATAAATACAAAGATCTTGGGAGACAGGTCTGTGCTGAAATCAAGATTTGGGAGTAAGTGACTCACACAGTCATTAAAATGGAGTGAAACTTGCTGAGTGCTGTGGCTGACACCTGTAGTCCCAGCTACTCTGGAGGCTGAGGCAGAAGGATTGCTCAAGCACAGGAGTTTGAGGCTGCCATGAGCTATGATCACACCACTGCACTCCAGCCTGGGTGACACAGCGAGCTCCTGTCTCTAAAGAAATTCTACCACTTAAGGTAGGGGTCAAGAAACTATGGCCAGTGGGCCAAATCTAGCCTGCCTCTTGCTTATATAAAGTTTTATTGGAACGCAGATGTGCTTTCATGTTTACATAATATCTACAGCTATTTTCGTGCTGCGATGGCAGAATTACATGGTTTTGACAGAAACCACTGGATCCTCAAACCTGAAATATTTTACTATTTAGTCCTCTGCAGAAAACATTTACCATTTCCCCTGATGGAAGGGGCTGAAAGAGGAAGTGGCCAGAAAGGCAAAGCTCCTTTCTGTATCCTCAGATTGGACTTCCCTGCTGGATCTCACCTGTGTGCTCTGGTGGGACACAGCTCCCGAAAGGCCTTGTCTCTCTCCCAGCTGTTGGTGCCCAAGGCCTCTGTGGCCAGACGCTGACCCAGCTTTTCTGAGGGTCCATCCTCAGCTGAGACCACGGGGCTGCTCTGGGGCTCTGCCCTACAGGGGAAGAAATAAGAAGGCAAAGGTGTTAGGATATACAGAGACACTTAATGTTCGTGGACTATGCATAGACCTCCTGAGATTTCCCATCTTCCCTTGCAGTTAGGTTGAGTCCATGAGATTATCTTTGGCCAATAGTCTGTGACTGGGAGTGAACAGATGTCATTTCCAGGTCAGTGTAATTGAGATCCCTGTGCCTTCTCCAGCTCTGTCTTCAGAACAGCTCTTCTCTTCCGTTTCAGTCACACTGACTTAGGAGGCCTCTAGCAAGGCTTGCATCTTCCCATACTTATCCTAGGCTAAGCTGCATTCCCTAACTCTAATTCCCTGAGAGCCTACACTCAGTAGTAAGGTGGGGATGCAGTGAAGAAGACAGAGATCCTGTGATCATGGAGTTTACATTCTTCATGGGGGAGCAGATAACATAGACACATAAGCAAGTAAAGATGTGGCTTGCTGAATGGTAATAAGTTATGGTGAGAATAAAGCAACCTACAGGCTGCTGTTTTGTACACAGTAATCAGGGAAGACTTTCTTGAGGAGTAACAAAGAAGTGGAGGCTTGAAAATTTTGGGACTAACTTTAAAGTTTGGGTGGTTTAGAAGTGTGCCCACAGACTCTTTGACACTCTTGCGAATGAAAGATGGAACTTCATCTCTCACCCCTTGAATAGTGGATGGACACAGTGGCTCACTTTTAATGAATGGAAGTGATGATACATGACTTTTGATTTTTGGCTTGATCTTTCCGTGGGAAGTCAGCTGCCATGTTGTGAGGACACTCAAGTAGCCCCATGGAGAGGCCCACGTGAAGAAGAAATGAGGCCTCCTGCCAACAGCCAGCACCACTTTGCCAGCCATGTGAGCAAGATACCTTGGAAGTGGATGCTACAGCTCCAGCCAAGCCTTCAGATGAGACTGCATCCCTGGCTGATCAGTCATCCATCTGACTACATCCCCATGAGAGGTGGTGAGCAAGAACCACCCAGCCACATTCCTGACTTACAGAAACTATGCACTAGAATAAGTGTCATTAATGTTTTTAGCCACAAGGATTTGTGGTAATTTGTTGCACTGTAATATATAACTTCTGCACAGATATCTGTGGGGAAAAAGGTGTTCTCCGGGCAAAAGGAATAGCAAGTTCAAAGACCCTTAGCATCTACAAGGAAGAGCAAGCAAGGTCTAGAGTGGTAAGAGGTGAGATCAGAGAGAAGGTCTTGGGAAGACCGTAGGGTTCCCTGTAGCTGAGATGTGAAGCCATTGGAACAGGAGTGACAGGGTCTGGCTTACATTTTTGAAGGATCACTCCAGTGGTCGAGGAACTCTAGACTGAAGGGGGGAAAGGGGAGAGACAGGGAGACTGCTGCAAACAGTCCATGCTCAGATCAATGTAGTAGCAACAGAGGTGGTGAGGTGTGGTTGGATTATAACAGATTTTGAAAGTAGTGCTAATCTCATTTGCTGCTAGTGAAATGCAGGAAGCAAGAGAGGAAGAGACCAGGATGACTCACTCCAAGGCTTTGAGCCCAAGTGACTGGAAGGATGGAGTCACCACGGAGAAGATGGAGGAAGTGGTGTAGGGAGAAAACTTTTGGGGAGATCTAACCCCTTTTCTAGGACATGATAGTCCCTTTTCTGCCCTAACAACAGGTCTTAATAATATATGTTGTTGTCATTTAATTGTCTTCTTTCACACACAGGCTCTCTGAGAGTAGAACTATCTCTTCCTGCCCGGGAGCCTGCTGCTTGTTAAACAATCAGCAATATTTGTTCAATGAATCAATAAAGGAACTAATGGATTGGCTAAAGAAAACATTTGTTTCAAAAAGTTAGAAAGGGCTTTTGAGATGCCTTGGACTAATCTCTTCATGTTACAGTTGGTGGGAATGGAAGCCCACAGAGAGTAAATAATCCAGCCAATGCCTCAGTCTACTTAGATGATGTCTTCTTTATTCTACCTCACATTTCTTTTAGAAAAGTGCTCAGCGAGCTTATTAATTTATGTATTGTCCAGCAAAGTCTTGACACATAAGACATTCCACTCCACTCCAACGTGGCTCACTCATATGACCGGTACGATGGTCCTGCCAGTTGGTGGGAGGTCTCGGTTCTTCTTCATGCGGGCTTCTCCCTGGGGCTGCTTGAGGGCCCTCACAACATGGAGGCTGGCTTTCCCCAGAATGAGCTATCTAGGAGACCAAGGCAGAAGCTGCCTTTTGTGACCACACTGAAAGTCACACATTATTGTTATGTCAAGATGGAGACACATAAGAATGGAATTTTGAACTCTCTGGGGTATTATAGGAAACCAAGATACAAATCTATACCAGAAGCAATCCCATGATAGGCAAACACTGAGAACTGATGCAAGGCACTTGGCAGGTAATAAATACATGGTGAGTAGTGTTGGCCCTGGGTGGAAAGTCTCAGTGACTTGTCTAATGTGGAGAGTAGAGGCGTGAGTTATCTAAAGTGTTGCGGCGGAAGTTGGTGGATGCTGGAGCACTGGGACACAAGAATTAGGGTTAAGACGATGCCTCATTTACCTTTGCTAGCCACAGAGGTCAGAATCAAAGATGGGGAAATCCTGACAATGATTTGGTGAGGGAAGACACAATGGAGTAGCAGAAATTTATGCAATCTCATGTGGCAGATTGTTCTTTTTCTCTAGTAGTACTGGTTTCACCTTCCTGGGGTTTTTGGTACTCGGGATTTTGCAATAAAACAAAGAGAAATACAGTTAATTCTACCAGGCAGTCAGGAAGTGCTGAGGGGAGGAAAAAGGGAATTCTCCATAATATAGCATTTAAAATCTTTTTTCAAGATGTTCCAACACTTTGCTTCTCAGCTTTCTTAAAACTAAAGGAGACACAGAGAGCATGTGGTCAAGGGTTTTCCAAACCTGGTGCCGACCAGAGGCCTCCAAGGAGCTTTGAAAAATACAGATTCCTAGGTCCCATTCTAGATGTAATAAATGAGAGTCTCTAAGGGACAACATTCAGGAATCTGCGTCTTAAAGACAGCAGGCAATTCATCTTCCTATTGGGTCAAGAATAAAATCCAAATTGGTCCTGATTGCCAGGGCTAAAAGATTCTGCATGATCTAGCAGTTAGCTTCTAGCCTCTACTTGCTTTCAACACCATCTCCTACTCCTCTTTCTGCCCCATACGCTGTTCTAGCCACATGGCCTCTTTGCTGTTCCTCAAATAGGTCAAACGTTTTCCTGCCTCAGGGCCTTTGCTCTTGCTGTTCCCTCCATCTGGCATGCTTGTATCATTGCATGGTCATTTTGCATATTCAGCCTCTTTTCCTTCTTCAGATGTCACTTTCTCAGAGAGTTTCTCCCTGACCCCCTTATCTCATTTTGTTCTCCTCTTCACCTGTGATGGGAGTTGCAGTAGCCTGCTATCTTTCTCACAGCATTTATTACTATTTGAAATGACTGTTTTGTATGTTTATTGCCAACCGATTATCTTTTGGACCAGAACGAAAGCTTTATGAGAAGGGAAAATAGTGTCTTTTCTCATCCCTGAGTCCCCAGAGATATAGTGCCTCGCATAGTGTAACTTTTTGCTCAGTGAACGTTTGTGAATGAATGAATGCACAGATGAAAAAATGAACTCTAATTACTGATCCCATGTGGGAACCACAGAGGAGATTCAAGCTCTCCTTGCAAATAAAGAAGCAGGGGTCCGGGGAGGAGGACCAGCCTGAGGTCACTCAGCACTTCTGTGGAATCAGACCTCAGCCAGGCTCCCCGGCTCTCCACAACCCCACCCATCTTCTTTCCCCACCTCCAGCCTTGCATCCTTGCAGGGCCTTAAGAAAAATTCTGTGCTCCACCTTTGCTGAGGTGTACCCATAGCTGCCTCATTTTTCTTCAATGTTGCATAAAAAAAAAATACTTAAAAGAAGGCAAGCTCTTCAGGAGACAGCTAAAACAGTGGAGTCAAGGGCTGGCACACTCCACTTCACGGAGGAAGGGAGGGAGCCACCAGTGCCAAATTCCTCAAGGCCTTCCAGCCCCAGTTCCTGCTAATCAGCGACCTGGAGCTTAGATGCTGGCTCCTCGTAGTCATGGCAACCAGCAGATTCCGAGCCTCTGATAAGAGTCAGGGCTGAACTTTCTGCAAAACTCTCTAAGACGTCTGGTTCCCCAGCCGTTTCCCTGTATCCACATCAAAGCATCCTCTCACGGAGCTGATCTGCCAGCTGCTCCCAACAAAGTGCTCATTTGGCCTGGGCTTGGCTGCAGATTCTCATCCCCCAAGCACTGGATTGAGTTAAACACTGTTTTGGGAATCAGAGACAAACAATGTTGGGGTGGGAAGAGCCCCAGATCCAGCCCACCTCTGTGCAGAGGGAGGAAGCTGAGGCCCCCAAGAGGCAAGGGGACTTACCCTAGCCAAACAGTGACTCACATCACAGTTCTGGCTAGAGTTGTGGCCTTTTGACTCTCACTCCAGTGCTCTTTCCACTTGATCATACCAGCAGCTAGCATTTATCAAGCACCTGCCAGCCAGACACTGGGCTGAGCACTTCTCACTCATCTTCTTATTGAAGCTTCCAAAGAAACAGGTCAGCCGGTGTTATCATGCCCACTGTGATGGAGAGACTGAGACCCCGAGATACGAAGTGGCAGCAACACCAGCTGCCCTGCCTGTTTATGAGAATCAACTGAAAGAAAAGGAGAGGGGGAATCTGGAAAACACTTTGAAGATAAAAAGAAGGGCTAAGTGGGGACAGAGGGTGTATCTTGGTGATCTGGCATTCCCCTCCTATGTCGTTCATTATTCAAGAGCAGGACTGGCCTTAGTAGTTTGCAGAGGATCTGCATGTCAAAGTTTGGCCCGAATCTTATATTCCACAAACCGAAATGGCATTTGGCCATTACTCTGGGAACACCCCTGACACTTATTGCCTCCATCCTACTAGTAGCTCCTCCTGTGGGTAGAGAACTTTCTAATCCAGCACCTCAATGGATGCTAGAACCC